AAGAAATCTGAGCTTCAATTGTTGAAATGTTTTATGTTTAGGTACTTATTCGGTTTCAAAATACTCATAGGCACGTAAACACTCCAATGCAATTCTCGTAGTTGTAAGTAAATAAATTAAACTATGTTGTATATATACGTAAAATCTTTAAGGCTTAAAGTATATTTTTTTTCTCTTTAAGATTTAGGATAAATTTATTTTTGTTTTTTAAATTTAAAATTGTTATTTTTAGTTCATATAATTTTAAAAATTTTATTTTAATTCTTTAGATCACTAATAATATATCTAAAAGTGATAAATTGAGATAATTATATAATATCAATTAAGTTTAATGTGATATATTCATTAATAATGATACTAGTAAATAAATTTTATGTCACAATATTTAACAAATTTTTGAATAAAATTTGAGTATAAAAAACTAAAATCATATTTTTTAAAATTTTGAGAAATTAAAAAAAAAAAATTTTAAATTTGAGAGATTATAAAAACATATTTAAATCAATCTTTTAATTGTAATTCTCTTCTCTCTCTCTCACACACACACACGCACACACGCAGACGCACACGCACACGCGCACGCACGCACGCGCGCGCGCACACACACACACGCACGCACGCACGCACGCACGCGCGCGCACACACGCACGCACGCACGCACGCACGCACACGCACACACACAGAGAGACACAGAGAGAGTCATATCAGGATGATTTTAAGTCATATCAGGATGATTTTTCTTTAAACCATATAAAACTTTAGCACATGGTATTGGAAGTTTGGAACGAATTTTATTTTGGCTTTTGATCCTATCCTCAATACGTAAGTACACACACACACAGAGAGACACAGAGAGAGTCATATCAGGATGATTTTAAGTCATATCAGGATGATTTTTCTTTAAACCATATAAAAACTTTAGCACATGGTATTGGAAGTGTGGAACGAATTTTATTTTGGCTTTTGATCCTATCCTCAATACGTAAGTACCCTTAGTGTATATGTCCTTGTCTTCAATTCATTACAAGCATATAGATATAAAAGGCAAGAATTAAATGCCAATCTGAACTAACATCAAATTGGAAAGCGCAGATGAGTTGTATGTGCAGTTTATAATTCGTTTTCTAGCCTCCAAATATGACTAAGCTGTTGGAGGGTTAAATCAGACAAGAATTGGTTATCCAGAGTAGTAAAGGTTAGTTTGTTCTCACACTGTAAAAGCAAAGACCTATATATCAACTTTTTGAGCTAATTAAACAAAATTCATGTACACAAGTTATTTGAACCTTAAAAGAAAAAGCAATTAATTACTCCTCCTTTTCAAAGTTTTTAGAAGAGATTAAATGAAGAGATTTTGCAATTTGGGGAACCTATATATTTACTCCTAAAGACTACCTAAAAGCACTTTTAAGCACAAAATTAATGGATCTGCTGCACAATTTATCATATCAGTCTCAACTCTCAATGTCTCACCAGTCACCACCAGACAACTCTATTCATATTCCTCATTTGCTAACCTATAAACGTGTAGACCTATTGATTGCTCTTTCTACCACCATGTTACTATATATGTATTAAATGATAGATGATTTTTTTTCATAAATACTTTTAACCAAAAAAAATAAGAATGAAGAGTAAAATAATCTTTTTTTAAGTTAAAATCAGTTTCTTCATAATTAAAATTTTCACTTTCTAAAAAGTTAATATGAGAAAAGTTTTATAAGTTTTTTATAAGTTAAAATTAATATAAAAAATAAATATCTAATTCATTAAGATTAATAAAAGTAGTTAAATTAGTTATAATTAATAATGTAATAGTTTGTGGTGTCAAAAAAAAAATGTAATAATTTGAAATTTCATTGTAAAAATACTTATACAATTAAATGGTGTAAGTAGTAGTTATATTTAATGACACTACTAAAAAATTAATAAATATTTTTAATTATAATGGCTCAATAAATACATTCACACTAATAAAAAAATGAGTAGATATCTCATAAATACTCATAATAAATTAAGAGTATAAAAGTAAATTATCCATTAATACATTAAAAAATAGAACTATCTTTCTTATTAGTCTTTCATTTATTTGTTATGTATAAGAATGAAATAATATAAATTTAGTTTTTGAATAAATTTATTTTATCATTTTTATTTTATTTTCTTTTATTAGAAGTGCTCATGAAAAATATCACCCAATAATTTCATTAGTTCTTCGCAATTTTAACATTATAATGACTATGTAATAAAAATTAGAATTTGTCCAAATGTGCATTAACAGTAATTAGGAGAGTGACTAAATAAATTGATTTGTTTTTTTAGAAGAAATAAATTTATAAGTTAATAGTTGGATTATTTGTATTATAGATAATTAGTTTGGGTTGAGATACATTTCATTTTCTTTGATTTCTTTACATAGCTAAAGTTCTTCTCAAAGTCCAACTAGGTGTAAGGCTCATGTTAACTATTCCCCCTCTATTTTTCGACGTCTTGCTGCTGCCTCTTTTCGGCCCAAGAGATGTATATCTTATTTCTCTTTCTCTCCATCTAATTGATCAGCTGCAAATTCGATGATCCAAAATATTAGTACTATTTTTTTTTCCCTTCATATAAGTTTACATCATGTCATCGAACGAGGGAAATGACATGTTTAATAATTTTTTATAAATATAAATTTTTGCTTGTATGAAATTCTTTTAAAACATTCTTTATTATTCAATATCATTATTGGTGTATTATATTGATGACATATGTTTATAATATCCATATTAATAGGTTAACATTTTTTATGTATACGGTGGAGGTTTTTTTTTTTTTTTTTTTTCAATTTAGTCATATTCCCTTTTGTTCAGACAACCTCTCTTAGTTAGATACACACCATTGTAAACCACCATGATGTAAGGGACAGTTTTTTACGACAATATATTTTTTTTCTTTTTTACTTGCATTCATTTCTCTTGTAAGCATCAATACTCAACGAATCAAGAGAAAGAGTGACAAGCATGAGGGTTCCTCCCTCAAACGTGCGCGGTAACAAAAGAACAATTGTAGTGACAAGGTTATGGAAGAAGGAAATAACACAAAAGAAATCGGTTTTGTTGAGGGAGAGAATGTAGTGGACATATTATCATCAAGGAAAAGATTCCCAAAGATGTGGGACGTGTAATGGAGGCAAACAACAACAAAGAGGAATCAAGTGAGTATTCCCTTGTCAAAGTATTAAGAGCATTCATTAGAAAGTAAGTTAATTAAATAAGGTTGAATGTTGAATTATCTAAGAAAAGGTCAAATTCAGACCTAAAGCATGATTAACTCAAATAACTTATCTTAAGTATAATTGGCCTAGTCTCATACAAGTTAATTTATCTCTTGTATAGTTAGTTAGCTTAGTTTGATCTCAAGTATATCTTACTTAATTTACTTAGCTTTAAGTGTCTTAACTTGACTAACTTAATTTCGTATGTAGATAATTTTTAGCTATGATTGCTTACTTTATTATTATTATTATCAAGATTGAATCCTAACAAAATGACTAGCCATGTTTGATTATAAGTGTGTTTATATATATATATATATATATATATATATATATATGGTTTAACTCTTTCATAATTTTAAAGTCTTGAAGTATCAAAAATGAGGAAATTTAGCTTACATGAAATCCAATAGTTAAGTATCATAACTTAATCTTAATTTCAAATGGTCAAGTATGAACCACATTAATTAAAGAGTCGAGTATAAGTGGTTAATGAGTCGAACTCAATGTTGAATCGTTTGACTAAAACTCAAGTTCAATCTTTGATAAAAATAATCATTAACCAAACTTTACTTATCCACAGGTCGAGTTAGATTAAATTAAGACAAAATCTTAAGATATTGGTGTGAAAACAAAAAAGTGTGAACCATATTGTCAAATTAAACATATTAATGTTATTTAAATCTTGGGCAAGTAAAAGCCTTGATAAGAAAATCAAGAATATGAATGTTGGAACTAAGTGACATTTTTATGTGTGTATGTCTCATATCCATAAAATATAATTTTTTCTCTTGTCCCTCAAATTTTTAAGTGGTTGAGTTCAAGGCTAAATCTGAGCAAAATATGAATAATTAAAATCAATTTTGAACTTAATATGTGAAGATAAAGATCAAACCTAATCTTGGTAAAATATGAACAATTAAAATCAATTTTCATCATAACCAAATTAAGCTTGGTTATATGAGAACATCTTAAGCTCTTTCGCTTATGCAAAACTTAGAGTTTGAGGACCTATATACTGTTTAAGAAATAATTTTATAAAATGTTTTTGATTTTTTGGTTTTAATAACTAATCATTAATTAGTTATGACAATTTTTTTTTATAAAAAAAACAGGCTTAAATTTTAAAATTTAAAATAAATCAAACTTCTTTTGACAAGATAAATCAAACTTATTTAAACAGCGGTATTCTATGTCATATATATTATTTTAATTATTATTTAAGTTTATTAAAAGAGGTTAATGTGTATCGGAATTCTTGTATTATTATTGTTAAAAAAATTACGCTATTATATAATGACCATTTAAACTCATGAATGCATTATGCACAAATAAAATCTTATGAAAATGGATAAAAAAGAAACTCATGAAATAATTTTATTTTTGCAATAAAAAATTTAGATTAGAGTAACACATCATCTCATATAAGATCAGAATCAACCACCTAAAATATATATAAAAAAATAAAAAATAAAAAAAATTGAATTCAATCTAGGTTTTAACCAGTAAAATTAAATAAACTTAACTTATGAAATAATGTAACACATTATTTAATGACAGATCCATCAACATTAAACATTTATTCATAATTCATAACAGCAATTTTTATTATATCAGATTAATTTGGTTAACCAAGGCAATAAAAATAGGATAATTAAAAAAAGTATATATCAATGGAGATGAATGGCTTAGACAAAGAAATTAAATGAAACATCGTTTATATATATAGTGGGCGTGCATAACATGATTAAAAATGAGAAAGAAGTTTCTTATAATCTTCTTGTTTATTTTATATGAAATAACATATATAATAGGAAGAGTAACTCCTCAATTATTAAAGTATTATATTAAAGACATAGAAGATAAGTGGTTCTATCCAATAGTTGGAACCTGATAAACAATTCCATCTTTATTAACCCAAACCCAAACCCTATCACATCGAAAATCAGGGGTGACAATGGTTCCTTCAATCACTATAATAGCATCCACCAAAGGATTCTCCCTCTCAATTGTAGCCTCTGCCACCGTTCCTTCCACTCCAACCAACTCAGGCCATGAGCTCTTACCTGCGCAACATCGATCAAATTATATAACTCATCACACACACACACACATATATATATATATATATATATATACATGCACGCCAACATATTTACTATTTATTTACCTTGGCACTCTGACATTTTCTTTTTCTGATTTCTTAATGCACTTCTTCTGTTCGTGATGATATAGATGCGTTCATATCAAGGGGTATTTATAGTTTCTTTTGGTGTTAACCTTTATTTGTAGTTGAACGGTGCATTTTGTACTATGTCTAACACGTGACGTACGCTATAGCTGGAGACGATGTTAATCATATTAATTGTCAAAATTATACAAATGAGATTTGTCAAATTTTACAAAATGAGATTTGTCAAATTTTACAATGTCACGCTATCAGTCTTCAATTTTGAAACTGTTTTGCTGCTGAATTGTCTTCAAGTCTTTACACACATAGCTTCTAAATTCTAATCTAATAAACCGCATTTATGTTCATGGAGCAAGTTGACAAACTACTCATAATATTGCTTAACATAATATTATCATATTTATAATATATATCAATATAGTATAAAGTATAAATCACTTTTTTCTACAAATAAAAAGATAATTAATGTGAAAAATATATTTTTTTTTCAACAAATGCATCATGTTTGAATAAAATACGAAGAAAAATGGGAATCTATTTGAACTTATTGATACTGTTGTTTGTTGTTCTACTAAAGGACTTGTCTTACCAATGTATGGGAAATTGATTTGAACGGAAAAGTTATTGTAGCTTTAAAAACTTGCAGAGGTGGAGATGAATGGAATTATATTTAACCATTTTAGGAGCTAGTTCAGTTTTTTCTCCATTCCCTCATTGTGAAGCAATTGGACCTAATATGACTAATGTACGTTTTTTTTTTATAAGTCAAATACCGTAATATTAATTTAAATTATATATAGTCTACTGCAAGGTTAATTAACAATACCCTAGAGGTAAATCTGTCCAGCAGCTGCACAATCGGAAAAAATCAACAACAGGAATAGAAGCAAGCATTTGGTTGTGAAGGAGAAAAATTGAAAGAATAAAGAGGGGAAAAATATAGTAAGATATTCATAAAAGCTAACAAAATATCTTTTAAGATAATCTCTAAAATATACGTGGGTTCCTGCTGGACCTACGTAACTGGGCTTGTGAGCTATTGGGCTTGCTATCACTTCCCCTTCTTTGGATGAGGGACCTTGTCCAAAGATTGTGGGCCGGTTACTCAAGAGGCTCCTGTTGGGCCGGATATATATAAACTAAACAGTGATAAGTGAAACCTTTTATAACTAGAAGTAAAATTAAAATAATCCCAACACAAATGACCATTGCGAGCCTGTAAAACTGTTGCTGCAAGAAAAATTATACACGTGTTGGATGAAGTCATATAATAATTTAGGCTTTGTCGGTCAAGTATCCACTCAGTTACAAATTGCAATTGATTAGTTTGTCTTGTTGCTGTATTAAAAGTATATTTCATCTTTTTTGTTTTGGCAGAAAGTGGTAAATGATAAAAGAGAGGTGGAAAAAATGAAGAGATATGAATGATTGGAGTTAGTGTAGAATCTAAATATAAAGACAAAAGAATGCAGAATGATTGGAGTTAGTGAAAAATAGTAATCCAGTCCAACATATATTTCTCAAGTGTTATCTGTTTTTGTAATCCGTAGAGAAGAAAAGTGCAAGGGCAATGGCGAAAGAAAACATGTCAGCATGGAGTCCTAAAAAGTACGATGTTTTCATCAGCTTCAGAGGTGAGGACGTTCGCCACAACTTCGTTAGCTATCTTCGTTCTGCTCTCCGCGGAGCCAACATCAAAGCATACGCCGATGACGCTAATCTTCAAAAAGGAGACGAGGTTTGGCCCTCACTGTCCCAAGCAATCCATGACTCACACCTCGCCATTGTCGTTTTCTCCAAAAAATATGCAGATTCCAAGTGGTGCTTGATAGAACTCGTAGAAATACTTCACTGCAGAAAAACTGAAGGACTCGTAGTCATACCCGCCTTCTACCAAGTGGATCCATCCCACATAAGGAATTATAGTGGCACTTACGGGGAAAACTGCTCTTGGTAACAAAGTCATCCAAGACCAGAAACCTGCTCTTGTTCTTGGTGACAAAGTCAAAGACAACGACCATGTCATCCAAGAGTGGAAAGCTGCTCTTTCTATTGGTGACAAATTCATCCAAGAGTGGAAAGCTGCTCTCACCGAAGCCGCCAATATATGTGGATGGGACTCTCGTACCCGTTACCACAAGTAACTATTATCTCTTTCCACAAAACTTAGTGTGCTTCTTTAATTATAATTATTAGATTAAATTCATTTATGTTTTAATATATTAATATGTCAATATTACCTTTGAGTGCATTACATGAAATTAGCTCTTCATTTTAAAGAGTTATGTTGCGGCAGTGTAGTGTATATGTCGCACTTTATTTTATAACCATTCTTGATGTCTTCTTGTTTCTCTCCTACTTTTTTAGGGATGAATCTCAAGTGATAGACAAAATTGTGGAAGATGTATCCCAGAAGTTGAGCCTGAGGTTCCCTGTTGAACTAAAAGCACAAGACCTTGTTGAAATTGAAAAATATTGTGAACAACTGAAACTGTTGATGTCAAAAAACCAAAACCGTCAGTTACAAGAAAATGTTCAAGTAATTGGAATTTGGGGCATGGGCGGGATTGGCAAGACAACTATTGCCAAAGCCTTGTTTTCTCAACTCTTTCCACAATATGATGCTGTCTGCTTCTTAGCAAATGTTAGAGAGGAATCAAAAAAGCTTGGACTAATCTCTTTATGCGATAAGCTTCTTTCTGAGCTACTCAAGGATGAACATTGTAAATATAATATTGCAGCTGCAGGATCCACATTCATTATGAGGAGGCTTAGCAATAAAAAAGTTTTGATTGTACTAGATGATGTGGATAGTTCAGATCAATTAGATGTGTTGTGCAGAGAACAATGTAACTACGTGGGTCCAGATAGTAAAGTTATTATAACAACAAGAAATAGGCATTTGCTTACGGGAAGAGTTGATAAGATATATGAGGTCAAGATATGGAACTTTGCCAAATCTCTAGAGCTTTTTTGTTTACATGCCTTCAAAGAAAGACATCCTAAAAAGGGATATGAGGATCTCTCAGAAAGGGCAGTGAAATATGCAGGGGGAGTTCCATTAGCTTTAAAAGTTTTGGGTTCTAATCTTCATTGCAGAAGTACAGAATTCTGGGACTGTGAATTGAGTAAACTCATCAACTGTCCCAATGAAAGAATTCAAAATGTATTAGAAGTGAGCTATGATGGATTAGACAACCTACAGAAGAAAATATTTCTAGACATTGCATTTTTTTTCAAAGGTGAAGATAAAGATGATGTCATAAGAATACTAGATGCATGTGGTTTCTATGCTACCAGTGGAGTAAAGGTCCTTGAAGATAAAGCTCTTATAACTATTTCATATGCTGGGACGATACAAATGCATGACTTGATACAAGAAATGGGTTTGAATATAGTTCGTGGGGGTAGTGAAGATCCCGGAAAACGTAGTCGATTGAGAGATATAGAAGAAGTTTCTGATGTACTTGAAAATAAAAAGGCAAGGAAAAATACACTCACCTTCCTCCCAAATCAAACTAGACACGCTTAATTAGAAATATCCGTATCTAATTTAATACTGTTTACTTGTTTTGTAGGGGAGTGATGTAGTTGAAGGGATAAAATTAGATTTGTCTCAGATTGAGGATTTACACTTGAATGCTGACACCTTCAACTTGATGAGTAATTTAAGAATTCTTAGATAATACGTCCCTTCAGGTAAGAGATCAGGAAATGTGCACCATTCTGGTGCCCTCAGTAAATTTTCTGGTAAATTGAGGTACCTTGAGTGGAATGGATGCTTTTTGAAGTCTCTTCCAGTAAATTTTTGTGCTAAGATGCTTGTTGAGATTTGCATGCCGCACAGCCATGTTACAGTACTTTGGCAGGGGGTGCAGGTAAAATATATACAAAAGATAAGTTTAGTTTTTGGTTTAATTGAAATTTGAAGATTTAGGTTCCATAGTGATTGTTAATGCAGTAAAACTTTTCCTTTATTTTTTACTGCTATGACAGGAAAATCTGCAGGAAAAGTTACCTGCAAATTCTTTTTTACCATTTAATAAACATTACTTGTGAATTTATTTTTGCAAGAAAATCTGCAAGAAATAAAATAAAATTCTTACAATATTTTCTGTAAATTTTTACCGTGAAATTTTTTTTATGATCATTAAAATTGTAGCAAAATTTGTATAAAAAAAAACTTGTAGATTATTTTTTATAAAAAAAATTGTAAGAAATATCTGTAAATTATTTTTCGCAAATAAATTTGTAAAAAAAATTTGTGAAATTATTATTGCAAGAAAATTTACAAAAAAATTCTGCTAATATTTTTATTAAAAAAAATCGTAGAAAAATGACATTTTTCTAATAGTGTCACTTTATATGATTTATTCTTGCTTTTTCTTTAATCCGGTATTAGCTATAGAATTCTCTTGATTTAACGTAAGTAACATGTTTATTGCTGGTTGAAGGAAAAGTTGGAATAACACAAACATATATGATGGATCCTGGTGGACAAAGCCCAAATATAGACTGAAATTTTAACACCTAACACAGGGAGGGATTATATTTTACTACATATCATGTGCTCAATGTATGTCTACTCTTGTTCTCGACACATTTCCACGTCTAATCAGTGTATTTCTTCACTAACAACTACGACCTAATGTATGCTCGATGAACGAATTTCAATGTGTTCAGTGCATTTCTTGACAATAAGTCTATGCATGATGTGCTCTTAATTACCATTTATCTTTCTATAATGAGTACTGCTAACATCAAAATATATTTTTCTCAAAAAATACAAAAAAAAAAATAATAATTAAAGAAAATATCTTTTTGGCAGAAGCTACAAAGGAAAAAGTGCTCTCATTTAGAATACTGGAAATTCAAATCTTAGGAACAAGTTCCTGAATGTAATGTTTTTGTATTTCTTTTCCTGTCACGTGCATTCTCTGTTCCACTTATTAGAGTCTAGTCTCGCTCACATATAATACTAATTTTACTTTCAAGTATCTTTCTCTAATCTCTTTGCTTTCTTTATTATTACCGTGGATTTCTAAACTCTTATGGTTAGGTTTAGATAAATTTCAATATTTAACTTTTATATTGGTTGTATTTGTTTAAACTTAAACGAAGTGTTTCTAAGCAAATGTTTATTAAAAAAAATTCTTTAAGAAACAAATATAGGAGTTACTTCTTTAAAAAAAGTATTTATTCAAAAAGAAAATTTGAACAAAAGCATTAAAAAGTATTAAAAAAATGCTTATTTTAGTTTTAAAAAATTATAAGAAAAAATTTCAACAAACAAACTCATAATTTTTCACTAGTTTTATACCTTATATATTCATATATATGATTTGAGTCTTTATTAAGTATGTTGTTAACATTTTCCATCACTAACTGATTACAATTAATGATTATCTACTTGAATTTTCAATTGAAAAATTGGAATTTTTGTTTGATTTGATTTATTGGCAATGTATTTTATACTCTAACCACGACTAAGAATTGTGATATATGTAGCCCGATATATTCTTGTAATTAATTAATGTTAACCACACGACTAAGAATTGTGATATATGTATCCCGATATATTCTTGTAATTAATTAATGTTAATTTTGAGTTAAGATTAGTTTAGGAAATAGGGTTCCTAAGAGGATAAAAGGTTTTTTTACCAAACAATCAGATAGAATCCAAACTTAATGAATTCTTATATCAATTACATAACTAATAGAATGGTGTTAATAACTAAGTTACACTCTCCGCAAATGAAATTAGTCATTTTTCCGCTTTAAAACATTGTATATGAAGTATGTTTGTAGAAAAAAAAAAATCAAATAAGATTATATTAGAGGATAATTAGAATTAATGTTTCCTAACTTACTCACTTTATATCTATATAATTTATCTATATTTTATATTTTTGTTATTTTTTTTACAAAGATTAATCTCTGTCAACATTGGGACAGATTCGAGTCTATAAATACGAATTTACTTGTCATCCCTAATCTTATTCATGTACAATAATTGTACCGACTCAAAAATATTTTATAAACAACAAAGATGAAACACATTTTCTGTTGCACTTAAATTTTATACTGTATATATTGAATTTTCTGTTGCACTTAGATTTTATACTATATATATTGAATTGTAGGCGCTTATTATTGGCATAATTGCCTTTGGTGCCTCTTAAATAACATAGTAATTACATTTGATGTTACTCTTTGAATTCTCATTTATTGTGTATTCAAATGGTGATTCATTAAAATAATAGTTGGTACTTGATATAGGGACGGATCGATACAACTATCAAATAGGTCAAATTTTTTTAATGTTGTTCCTGTGTTAGGACACACTCAAATTATCCTAGCTGAGTTGGGTCGGGTCTCGGTCTTCTCGTTCTGATCCGAGTAGTCTGAAGTGATGTGGGGGTGCCTGCAAAGACACTCCGACGCTCAAGTTAGTGCTCGGCGTAATAAATGCGGTAGTTGAAAGTTGGTTACATACCTCGTTGGAGCTCTATTTATAGATGTTCGTATTGGGCCGTGATTAAGGATTGGGCCCCAGAAAATTAGGGGGCTAATCCGATGCGTTATGATAATTAATCTCTCCGTAATCAACCTGGCAGAGGCGCTGAGCTTGGCCGACCACACCGACGCGTTTCACCCACCTGAGTGTGGTCGGTGGAGTCGGGTATTCAGACTAATTATATTACGGTTCGGGTATTCGGCATAGTCGGCTACCGTACGGGGTACGGGTTGTTCGGCCTAGTCAGCCACCATACGGTATACAACCCCCGCAGCGTCAAGGATAGGAAAGACGAAGACGGTATAAAGTGCATAGCCATGTGTTGTATGACGTTTGGGGCGCGCCCTTGACCATGTAAAATCATGCCGAGACCTTTGGTGGGGGACGGCTAAGTAATGATCTAAATATAAAGGCATACCGAGGCCTCGCATGCGTGATGCTTAGACCGAGGGCTCGGACGTAAGAAGCTGCGTCGAGGCCTCAAGCAATTGGAAATTATACCGAGGCCTTGGCAGAGTCAGGTCGAATCCTTGATGGATGGCGTCTAGGACGTAACCTAGGCCACGTGAAATCACGCCGAGGACTTTGAAGGAGTACGACTGGACCGAGGGCTCGGACGTAAGAAGCTGCGTCGAGGCCTCAAGCAATTGGAATTTACACCGAGGCCTTGGCAGAGTCAGGTCGAATCCTTGATGGATGGCGTCTAGGATGTGACCTAGGCCACGTGAAATCGCGCCGAGGACTTTGAAGGAGTACAACTAAGTCGTGACCCGTGAAGTATGAAGATGTGTCGAGGCCTCGCATGTGTGATGCTTGGACCGAGGGCTCGGACGTAAGAAGCTGCGTCAAGGCCTCAAGCAATTGGAATTTACACCGAGGCCTTGGCAGAGTCAGGTCGAATCCTTGATGGATGGCGTCTAGGATGTGACCTAGGCCACGTGAAATCGCGCCGAGGACTTTGAAGGAGTACAACTAAGTCGTGACCCGTGAAGTATGAAGATGTGTCGAGGCCTCGCATGTGTGATGCTTGGACCGAGGGCTCGGTTGCAAATTGGAACAAACTGCTATTCACACTGACAAAAGCAAAAGAGTAAACTAAGATTACTACATTCCCTATTAGTAACTCCAATCATCATTCTGCATATTTTGAATTTTCTTTTATATTTTAATTCTACACTAACTCCAATCATTCATATCTCTTCAGTTTTTCGACCTCTCTTTTATCATTTACCCCTTTGTGCTAAAAGAAAAAATGAAATTTACCTTTAGATACTTTTTCAATTTACAGCAACAAGACAAACTAATCAATTGCAATTTGCAACTGAGTGGATACTTGACCCACAACGCCTACATTATTATATGGCTTCATCCAACACGTGTTTGTCATCTAGCTAGACCAATTTTCATATGATCTGTTTTTGATTTTCAATTGAACAAATAATTTTTCACCGGGACCTTGTAATTTTGAATTATGTAATAATTGTTCTTGCACCAACAATAGTTTTACAAGGCTCATAAAGGTTATTTGTAATTCAGAATAGTTATTTATAGGAAAATAATGCACATATTCTATTAAAAAAAAAGGGAAAATAATGCATAGCCACTATCGTCATAATTGACAACTGGAAAGAGAAAGGAAGGTGAGTGAGTTACAAGAAATAAGAATCACAATTCGTAAGTGATGAGACTCGAGATATTTTGGAAGGTAAGGTTCAAATCCCTGATATTATATAGGAGTAGTGATAAGTTGAGGAGAATAGCACTGTTTAAATAAGTTTGATTTATTTTTAGAAAATAAAATTTAAGCCTGTTTTTTTTTTTTCGTAACTAATTAATGATTAGTTGTTAAGAAAATTATAATTATTTTTATAAAGTTGGACTAACCCATATACTTTAAGAACCAAATTATAAATCAAATTCTCAACATATTACTCACCATGAGATTCATTCTAAAAATGTCCTCTATTGTCTTTTTATTGATTCCTACCTTCTTTTAACATGGTTAAAAATCATGTCATATCCACCTACTTCACTAGTATCTCATCCTTCTTTACAACATATATACAATTCATCTTAATTTATTTTTTCATCCTTTTTCAGCATAGTTAAGATATTTATTTGTGAATTATATAAGGCTTAGTTAATCTATATGTTTGTCTATATTGACTGTATTTTGATTTAGTGAGTTAAAACAACTTAATTTTTAGGTTTTAGTTAATTTTTGAATTTTTGTTCATTTTGATAGAGTATAACTTAATTTATGGAACTTGGAACTGAATAATCTTGATGAATCTAGAAAGCTAACACAAAGAAATTCAATTTCATTTGTCACAAGTTCATGCCAATTCAAACTATAGCAAGTTCAAAATCATACTTTAAGTTGTTTTCTCTACATTGAACTTAACTTTCTAATTAGGAGCTTACTTTAAGAATATCTTAGTTTGTTAGAAAGACAATTCAATAGGTTTTTAATTAAGTCAAATATGTCAATTGATTTAGAGTATTATAATTAAGTCATTAGTAAGTTGCAAGATACATTTTATGTTCATTCTTTAGAATTTGGTGTAATTTCTCCTAAAAATTTGCTTGAATTCTCTCTTTTCCTCTTTTCCCACACTTTTTCTCTAAAATCTTTGAATGTTTTGGTCTTGCGTCTTTTTTTTATCATATCACAGGTATCTTGTAACTTATTAGACAAACTTCACTTACAGTATTGTGATTTTCGTTGACAATAGATCATCCTACAATGTATAATTTTATCGAATGAATTTGATCCTTAGATGGATGACTTTCTCAACTGAATTTTCTTTATTATTTTTACTTCTTCATTATAACTTAGTAATCTATTGATTTTGAAGAAAAGATATTTTCTCTACTAATTAATGATAAGATTGAAAACAATGAATTTGTGTATTAAAAAAAATAACCTAAGTTGTCCCTATACCTCAAAATTAAGAGAAATAATGGTAATTCGGAAACTGTTATGATGTGAGACCATCATTTATTTATATATATAATCATTTTATATATGTTATACATTCTTATGTTGTTGCACAATGATCTATCTTGGCATAATTATTTCCACTTCAATGATCTTTATATATATATATAAGCTAGAGCAAGCATCTCTATGTAGTAGCAAGTGTGATCTGTGAAGTTACACTTCATTGTAAATGCTTTTCTCCACTACTTATTCATCCAGCAAATCTTAATATAACTTCTCCCTGTTGTATGTTTTGAGTAGGGGTGGGCAAAAAAAATTGAACTGGTGGTGAACTGAACTGAACTGTACTATAAAAAACTGAACTGTTTATAAAAAAACTGAACTGAATTGTTTAAAAAAAATTGAACTGAATTGAACCGTTGGAAAGTTAATTGTACTGAACTATAAAACTGAAGTGAATTATAAAAATTGAACTATTTTTATAAAAAGATAAAAATTAAATGTGTCTAACATGTTATGTCTTAATGGAATAACTCGATAGTCTAATAACTAAAACTTTAGAAGAAAAAAAAAGTGATAAAAAATATTGTATCAATTTTATCGAATCTAACGGATCAATTGAGTTATGTTGGACTACTTATTTTTAGGCTTAAAATTCACTGAGTTTGTTTGACTTAATTTTATATTTTTTTCTTTGAAAAATTTAAATAAAATGAAAAATAAAGTAAAGTTGGCAAATGTGTCCTATTTTGGTAGATCAATGAGTCAAAATTGTTCAATTCAAAATATCATAACAGTTCAGTACAGTTTAAATTGCAGTTCAGTTCAAGTTTTTATAGTATAGTTAAGTTCAGTTCAATAACACAAAAAAATAGTTCAGTTCAGTTTGTCTGAACTAATATTTAAGTTCAGTTCAGTTCATGAGAACTACTTTTAAGTTCAGTATAGTTTTTATAAGTTCAGTTCAGATCATTTTGCACATCCCTAATTTTAAGCACCTAGCTCTAAGAGTACCAATATATCATATATCATATATATTGTTGTAACAAAATTGAAAATGAGACATCAGTACAGGGATCAGAACTAAAATACAACCCACAAGTAGAATTGTTATTGTTAATTATTAGAATCACCAAATCAATCACAAGTGATTTACCATTTCATTTTACAACAACTGTTCTCCAGCACACTACTAGAATTTCTCTTATTACATGCGACTTTTCTTGCAAATTTTTATGAAAAATTCGAAACATTGTTCCTAAAATTTTTTCAAGCACTTGTTTCCAGGCCTCCAACATGTGATACATAATCTTTTAAACTCTAAGATTGTAGATTATAAGCTTAACATTCAATCATACAAATCAACTTATAAGTTAAGTGTTGCCACAACTTATATACTATTTAATTGTTTTATTTTCAATCGATGTGGGACTTGAAATTTTTTTAAAATATTAAACTTATAAATTTAAATATTTTTTTGATTTTTCTTGCGGATTAAAATTGACAGGAAAATCTGCAGGAAAAGTTACCTGCAAATTCTTTTTTACCATTTAATAAACATTACTTGTGAATTTATTTTTGCAAGAAAATCTGCAAGAAATAAAATAAAATTCTTACAATATTTTCTGTAAATTTTTACCGTGAAATTTTTTTTATGATCATTAAAATTGTAGCAAAATTTGTATAAAAAAAAACTTGTAGATTATTTTTTATAAAAAAAATTGTAAGAAATATCTGTATCTTCTATTCTCAATAACAAACCTTTAAGAAAGGAAAATAGTGGGAACTTTCATTTTGATACTTCGTTCATCTTGTCTTTTGCAAGATTAAAAAGACACAATTTAAGATGCCTTAATTAAAATAAATTATTTGTTTCTATGATTCACAGTTTTATGAAATTATATGTTAGCAAATAGAAATAACATTGATATGGAACATTTAATTTTTTTGCAGATGTGTTCAAGTATTTATGGAGATTGATCAGCATTTAGAAAGGTGTCAAAGCAAAAATGAAATACAGGAAATTCTGGCTATATAACATTGCAATTTCTAAAGACCGGAGGAAAAGTCGAAGAAAGTGAAAAAGGAAGCTTCTGTAGTATCCTTTCGGCAATACCTGAAGATGAGTACGTATTGTATGGAAGTATCTGCAAATTTATGATTAGTTACATCACTGAAGAAATCTCCCTTATTTAAGTTAGTTATCTACAATCTCTTTTGGTATGTTTTATTCCTGTTCAAGTTATGCATCTTACTTTTGTTGTTCTGCGTGAATTATGGTGTAGTTGTACCCAACAGCTGTTATTAGATTATATTTATTTGAATTATATTTCATTAATAGTAATGTCTTACCTCATCTGATACAAGATATCAAATTATTAGCAGGAGTAGAAAACTTATGTGTTGTAAATAAGGAACAAGTTCATACATAAAATTAAGATGAACCTGCTTCAAGATTTTGAGTTGCTTATCTGACCCTACCCCTAAGTATCTATGTTTGTAATTGAGAGCACAACTCATTTTATTGTCATTTTGTTTTCCTTTTTCCGTCTCTTACAGTTGCAAGTTGGTTATAAATCAAATTGTATAGTGGTTTCACTTGGTTAAACAGATAGCTTAGTTTACTTTTTGTTGAAGTACACTAAAAAATTTAACTCAGTAAAAACCGATTGCAGGTAAATTTTCAGGATCACTGCTATTGTGGTCGTGATCTTTTGTTCTTAATTTCTGCTTGCATCGAGTCTTATAGAAAATAAATTGTTCCCTAACAAGTGTAGATATGGACCCAGCTGTATACATATTTTACACTTGAAACAGACAAACATATCTGAGCAATAAGGGTGGACATTGGTTTCATCATATAAATAGGTTTGACTTGTCTCTATATTATATTAATTCAATAGCTGAAATGAAAACTAATCTGTGATTGTACTATTTGATAGGTCACAACACAAACCTTGGGGTTGGCAATTTGTGCTGAAGGTGGATACTTGAAATATGTGCGATTGAGTCCAGATTTCTAAGTTTGCAAACGGAGCATGGATGCTTCATTAGGTTTTGGGAAGGAAATAATTTGTCGGATTTCTAATGCGATATCTGTACTCGAGTCTTGATATATCAAGTTGGTCCATTGTTGGCATCAATTTTAAATATTGATAAACTTGGGTTAATATCCAAAAGGATTGTTTTCTTTTGCAAAAAGTTTAAATAAAAATAAGACACTACTCAATCAAAGAGATTAATTTTAATTGCGTAGTAAAATATATTATTTTTAAAATATGAATATATTTTAAAAGTAATATATCTAAAATCATTTTTTAACAGAAAATAAACTCTTTTTTTTCAAATTCAGTTTTATAAACTGAAAGTTACTAAACAAATTAATTTTCTCAATTAATTCTATCCAGAAAAAATGTATTTTATCTTATATGGACTTTTTAAAAATATAATCATATTATAATTTATTTATAATATAAGTACAAATTTACTTCCGAAAATCTAGTCTCTCTTGTACTTGTCAAGTAGATTAACAATCTCACCATTGTTGTTGAATGTAGATCTAATATATTGATTGCGATACATTCATCTTCTTCTCCTTTACTGTTTTCACCTCCTTCAAAGTGACAGTAACATCAACATCTTCTTCTCTATCTTTGATCTCGTGGTCATGCCAAGACCATGCTTAAGTTCGTTTGCCTCAATATTGTCTCTCATTTGTGTCGACATCCTATCTGTCATAACTTTGACCTCCTTATCATGTTTGACGATCCATTCTATTTTGTCTTTCTCGACTAGCATGATAGTTGCTCTTCCTTCACCTCTATTATCCCTTGCCACGTACCCTCCTGAAGTCATACAAAGTGCTTAACAGTCATTTATGTTTTTATTTTTATTTTTATCTTTTCAGTAGTTTTTTTTTTCTTTTAAATTTATCAATTTGATAGGATCTTTATCTTTCCTTCATTTAAGAGATTTATATTTATCAGTTTGTTAGGATTGGTATAGTTTACTTTCTTATATATTCGCATCAAATGCCTATGAGAAGCATAACATTCATTAATAAAATTTTGAGTATTTTTCAATACCTTGTGTCCATCCCTAGGTATTCTTAGAATCAACGAGTTACTGATAGTTTTTTCCCATTCCATCACATACACTGCATCACCTCCCCTTCCATGCCCATTCTTTGAATCCATTAAAATGACTAACAATGGTTAGTCATTCATGTATTTTTTGGTGTTAACTATTTTTTGAAAAAATCTATATTTTTATTCCCTTTTGGTTTTCTCTGTAATTTGTATTTATTTGGTTAATTAAAATAGTAGTTGAATAATAATGATAATATGTATCTATTGTATATCCGATGGTAATATGCTTTATTAAAGAATTGATATATTATTGTGTATAAATAGTTAAATTATTTTTTTGTAGTGTATTGCAAAATGTTGTATGTAGGCCATTCCCAAGTCTTGATTATTATTGTAAATTATTATTATCTTGATGAAAATATAATACATTGCAATGTTTGTTTTTAGGTTATGAATGCATAGATTAGTGAACTGTTTGTAATTAGAACATTCCCAAATTTGTGATTATGTTTGAGAATGTATTATGTTTAATATGATGATGATAATTTGATACATGTTTTAAGATTTGCATGATTTGTTGAAATGATGTTAAAAATTATATAATAACAACATCTATTTAAAAAACATGTTTATATAAATTTTAATATAATCCTTTACTGATATTTCTTATCTATATGTAATTAGTGTAATTATTCTACTGATACAATGTGCTCATAAAAATTAAAATTAAATGATCAAATAAAGTGTCATTATAATTATATCAAATTTGTAACTCCCATCTTTACAATTGTTAATTATTAGCATTCATCTTATGTATTAAACATTGGACAGAAAAAAAATTAAGGGTTGTTTGATTTCCAAAAAAAATGTTCTTTATTTTCAAAGAAAATTATAAAATATTTTTAAATAAATTTTACAATTTTTAAAATAAATAATAATATATTTTCTTAATAATTGATTGTCAAAAAAAAAATTTAAAAATAATCGAAGAATATCAATATCACAATGAAAACTATTATAGATAATCATATCCCATATTCATATTATAATATTAAAATTTGCGTATATTTTAGTTAACTTTATATTCTTTTAGTTTTAGAACAGTATGCAGAAAATATTTTAGATTTAATTGTTTTAACCTTTTTATCAAACAATTGATCTACTCTGACAATTAATTTTATATCATATTAGAATAAGTTAAAATTGGAAAAGGGAATATTTGTGAAGCATGGCTCAAACGGAAGAAAAAAGAGAAAGAGATTTGGTGTCTCATGCACTACATCTATTAATAGTTAAAAAAAAAAAAAAAAAAAAAAAAAGGAAAAAAAAAAAAAAAAAAAGAGGAGAAAACAACATTACAAACTAGAAAAAAAAAATTACATGCAAATATCCTGCATGATATAAATTAAAAAGTTATATAAAAAAAAATAGACCAGGAACAACAAAAATACGCAAAACACAAATAAGATAATTTCTTCTACAAAGACTATAAAAAGGAAACATATTTTGAAAAGAAAAGTAAATATCAATAAAATTATACCACATTTTCTTTTTCTTTTTCGAAATTGAAAACAACTTTATTTTAATTTTAGATTTTAGTTGATTTTTAAAAGAAATGTTTTCTAAAATGTAACCACACATATTTTTGTTATTTCTAGTTTTTTATGAAATGAAAACAAAAAAAAAATGTTCAAAGCAAATAAAGCCTTATAGTTATTCCATAAGACTTCCCTTCACCCCTATTGGTTAGAAAACAAATTTTCGGACAATTTTTATCGCAAAAGACTCGATCATTTATCACACCACATTATGAAAGTACAAATCTCTTCTCCATCTATCATTCAACTATTTTGACCCCTTCCATGAAACTCCTATCACCTATTCATATACATTATCAAGCACACTTGTATATTACATCTTATGTTCATTAGGATGCTAATTTTCTTTACTCAAAGTAGTCTTAAACAATATACATATCAAGAATATGTTATTATTTTTAACTTAAATTAATCTTTTTATGTGAATATTTTACACAAATATTTTGCAAACTTTAATATGATATTAAATTATTTATATAATTCATTCTCCTCGTACAATGCGTGAATCAATGTCTAGTTTTTATTAAATTTAACCCACATTATTCATGTCATAACTTGATACCAGTAAAAAGTAAATTAAATCTCATTTATCAATGTTGGCAAGTGCAAGTTCAACTAAGTCATAACAACCAAATGAAATTGAAAGCTCCCATATTAACAAATTGGTAGATTTTCTATCCCAATTTACATAGGAACGAAACAGAAAATTATCCAAAAGTGTGACATTTGTCCTAGGCCTTCTTAATTGCAACAGACCTTGCTTTCAGATTCAGAAAGATTCCCCTGACGCAATAAAGAAAATCAGAGGCTCGTTACTTATTAATTCATGTTGCCCGTTAAAGAGAATATAGATAGACTAATAATTCATTAAATCAAACTTAAAAGCAAGGAAGAAGCTTTATTCTTTTTTTCTTTTATAAAGAAAAAAAAATAGAGGGAAAAGAGTGAAGTACAACTAAGAGAGGATAAAATATCCTCATACAATTCAAAATGGTCAAGGCTAATTAATGCCATTGCTTAACGAATGGGGTTGGGGATGAACCATGACCATGATCATAAATCAGTGTAACTACAATACATGAATTGGCTTAGCCATAATACATGTTACTTATTGCAAGATGAAATAATCAAGTATTGCTAATGTGTTGTCAACATACAACCAGTTTACCACCTTATAGCACAATTTGAATTAATGGAAACAGGGACGACACAAAACGTTTCCAAATTGCATAGTGGACATGTATAAAACCTATTATGGAACTTCAATCTCATGCTAAAATGAAAATCCTAGTGGTTTAGAAACATAATGTCATAGTTTAATCCGATTATAGGCATCTGGTTATTGTTCTTAAATCTTTAAAAATTTGTTTGAAGGTCTGTTTGGTTGACATTCAAAACTAAGGTGACAGACTTCCAATGTAATTTCTCTCAAAGCAAAACTTTTTGGCTTCCATGAAACTAAATTTTACTCCCCCATACAAACAACAGGCATTAAAAACGTTCCCTAAAAACTTCTAAATTATAGGCAGATAAATAACTTTCGTTAAGATCAAGATCTACGTTTCAGTATGAATTAAGAACCATCAACATTTATAGAATCAAGTTTAAATGGGTTATGTATATTCCTTTAACTATAGAAAAATTTGATTTAATCTACGTAACAAACAACCAAACCACAACAATATCTCATACTTGAGAGCATATTCTTGGCATAAGCATAGTTGAAAGCAGATTCAACAAGTATCAATAGTATTTTATCCACTATAAAGATATCCTCTCTTATGACCTTCCCCATAAGTTCAAAACTGAACTTGCTTCTTAGAGTAAATATAATTTCACTCCATGAGATTCTTTTGTAATTTACAATGCAATGCATATATATCATAGTATTATCAAGTGATAAAGCTTAATTGCTTATTCATTAACTTTAGATGGCATGAACTAATCAAGGAAGTTCAAAAATAGCAATTTGAAAGAAGCAGCTCACCAGCATGCAGCAACAAAGCTGTGAAATACAACACGGAGCTGCAGAGGCATATACTGGTAATTCACCCAACCAACTATAGGCCAAAACTGCAAGTTAAAAACAATATAACTTCAAAAAACTAACTTTTCAAACTGCCCCATGAGCTAAACAGCAGAAGATTGTTCTCATTGTCATATACCTTCCATGCAGTCAACTGAACAGAAGGGTAATCCTTTTTAACTTTGTTGATGGTTGCACTCCAAGGTCTTCCTGCAAACAAGCCTCACACTTTAATTACCATGCAATTCATACAAATTAGTTAGGATATTTTATTTAGAAGTTGTATTGATGATGTGATACCATTTTTATTTATCCATAAGTCAGAAAATATTTCAAAATATTATTTTGTCACATTGAAGTCAGGATTCATAAGGTTTTCAAAATGTATAAGAACACTGAACACTGCCTGGAAGCTACCTACATTTTTGGCTTAGTTCATGAATAAAATTAAAATCAGAGTGAAATATGAAGTGTCCTATATTGCACTCCTCCAGGTTTTAAATCCAATATGAAATTTCATTTGGACAAGACAGTTTTTTTAAAGAAAAGTAAATAGTGTATACACCAACAGTGTCATCCAATCACAGACTGTCATGTATAATAAGTTTATTAACTTTTACAATATTTATTTTAAAAGTCATACTTATTATGATTTTTGATAGATAGATGATGAAATCCTTTAACACTAATAGTACATAAAAATTAAACTTAGAAAAATAAGAAAAAACTTAGTTGTTAGACCTTTATTTATTTTGCTAATTATCGCTCACAAGTTTCATATTATCTTTAGCTAAGGGTATGTTCAATAAAACCAACGTTTTGCACTGAATTTGTTTTGTTTGAACTTTGAAGGGGTAAAACTGCATCAAAAGAAATTACTAGCATTCATGTAAAAGATAAGCCTATGATATTATTATTATTTAAAAGAATTAAAATAACTGCTGCAGAATACATTTAGTATTTCCCAGGTTTTGAAATTCATTATCAGTGGTATGCCAGGAAGCATAAGAATACACTGAGGAAATTTTTCCAAGAACCATATTCAAGAGCAACACACCATATTGGCATACAAATACTCATACTTTGAACATTGGATGACATATACTAACTTCAGCAATACAATAGTAACAGGATCAAAGTAAGAGTGAAGCAGCAACAAGGAAACAATGTCTTGCAATGGCATAATAATCATGACAACACATAAAAGCCGGTATTTATGGAATCACGAAGAAATTAATGGTTTCTGTTTTAAGTAGGGAGGTGGAGTGAAGAGCAGATGAGACATCAACAACAAAAGTAAGCATTAAGCTTTAATTTAAATGTTTCAAAATTATGGTGTAAATTGAGGTGTGACACAAATGGGAACATACTTTATCAATGAGCATACCTTCTATAACCAAACCATAATACATCATGAAGAAAAAGTTGTTCCATGGGGAACTGGTTATCTGTTCAAGGATCACCTAATAATAGGATATTTCATTCATCAGAGCATTAGTTAAAAATTTGTAATGGCTAAGGAAATTATAGAACCAAACACAATACAAAATACTGTCCTCCCTATGAGTGAAATTACCAGAGGACAGACAATATAACACAAGCTTACACTACCTTCTTAGCAACAGTTTCATTGCCTTTCTTCCCCTTAAAGATTTTATCCATCAATTTGTGGAGAAAATGTCCAAAGGGTCCTGAGTATGCGAAACCATAGAGCTGCAAAAACAATTCGATTACAAATTAGTTCTGTACTTAAAAGTTTTCATTACAAACTTAAGTTTCTGCTTCATCTTTTGAGAAAACGTCACACAATTAGCACTTGTGTTGATCTTTTTATGATCGTTGTTTGAGATTTATGAAATGGTTAATGGTAATTTGGTAAAGATTATATTATAGCACAGCTTCATGGAAAATTTTGAATTTTTTTTTGAAATTTGATTTAGGCACACAAATACAGTCCAAAATGAAAATGAAAATGAAACAGATATTTGTCACATACGATGGAATAATTTAGAAGAACCATAGTTAAGTCAAATAGACATACCATGAAAAGAAGCAACCTTCTCAACTGAAGCTTCTTGGCTCCACTTATCTTCTGTGCCACTGCATCACTAAAACCAGCCAAAACTGCGGCGGTAATTGCCTAACAACCCACAGGTTATTATTTTTAAAGAACCCCATTAGTCTCTTAAAAACAAAAATTAACAAAAAAACCTTTTTTTCAACCCAGTTACTCTCTTTCTCTTAGATATTAAAAGTGGGTGAAAGGAGAGATTTGAAAAGGGGATTGCATAGGAAGAGAATTGAAACCTTGGTTCGGAGAGGATGGTGCTGAAGCTGCTGGAGATATTTGTTAAAGACATGGTTGACTTTGTCAGACATGGTGATTGATCAAACCTCGGATGTTGTGAGTTGGATTGTGTAGTTTCTGATAGTTACTCGTACGTAAGATGGAGGAAGATGGAGAGTGACAGAAACATAGAAAATATAGAACAACATAACAAAAGCATCAGAAAGGAAAGGGTGCTAACTAAAATACAAGGAGGGTTAGGTGGCAAAATCAAGTGACATGAATCACACGGATCACACGCAGCATAGCAGAAGGATACACTCATTGACCAAAGACTTAACCATTAATGTGATCCCTTCTTCCCTTCCCTCAAATTCTTTGTTATTAATTAAAAATCTTAGTCTATTAATTATAAAGTCTGTCTTGAAAAATCAGTGTTGATACGGTAGCCTATTTAAAACAATTGATTCTTATTTTATATAATTAACTAATATTACATCACCTTTCTGTTTATAACTATTTATAATAGCCTATTTAAAACAATTGATTCTTATTTTATATAAAACTCAATCTATATTATTTTATATATTAATTATTTTTAAATTAAATAATTTTAATTAAAATATATTTTTTAATTTCATAAAATATATTAATTAAAAACTCTTTAAAAATATACACTTTAATCAATTTAAAAAAATAATATTATTAATTAAAAGAGAAGGAATATATAAAATTTGATGTAACTATATGTAGCAAACTAATTTTTTTTCCTAATTTTAAACAACAATTTTTAATCTTTAAGGTTAGTAAAGATTAGTTTATATATATATATATATATATATATATATATATATATATATATTTTTAAATTTAGAATTACCTTTGAAACAATTTGATTTCTTTATATATATATATACACACATATATATATATATATATATATATATATATATATTCATTTATTAATGATTTTATTTCCTATACATTCACTTATAACTAGTATTAAATATGATAATCACTTAAAATAAATTATATATTTGAAATAAAATTTAAATATATGATAAAATTAATTAAAATTAATTATATTAACTATTTTCCTTGACATCTATGTGATGTCTATGTTACTTAGAATTGGGACATGAGGTAAGGATATACAGTCTAATTGATTAAAAAAAATATGAATATTAATTAGAAAAGAAAAATAGTATAAAAATAATTTTTAAAAAATTATATAAATAAAATAAATTTATTGCTATTAATTATATTTATTTTTAAAAAATATTATATATTTTTTAATTTTAGTGTAGACATTGAATTTATATATATAATAACGAAGTAGTAATGAATAATAATACCTACCTACCATAAACATTTAAAAGTAGAACACAAAGAATGGACCACAGTGAGTTGGTGACGGCGAAGGAATCTCTTCTTTCCAACAGAGAGCCATTTGTTATTTTGTTTATGCCTAATGGGAATAGCACGGCTGAAAATCTCCAAAGATACATTAATAGGTACCCAAATTACTTTTTTATTTTTCAATTTAAAATGAATATATATATATATATATATATTATTTTTTCTTTCAAATATTAATATAATTTCTTAACTAAATTTTGTATCTACTATCCAGAAGTGTATCCACGGCTTCTTGTACCAATTTTTCCTGACACATTACTAATTCTCCTGGCGTAGATCTACTTGTTGTTAATAGATCAATAAGAGTATTATTCCGATAGAGAACTCTTCTATATAGCTCATTAATATCCGAACTCATTAGTTTACCCCCATCTATTTGAATAATCGGTCTCAATTCAGGAGGAAGAACTGGTAAGAGACATAAAACCATCCATTCTGGTTCTATATTTGTTCGGATAAAATGCTTAGCTAATTCTATGCGTCGAACCAAAAAATTCTTTCTTCCAAAGGAAATTCGTCCTCCCCACTCCCAAAACACTTCTCCAAGGAGACAACGTATCCAACATTCCTTGGTCGAATAACTTTGAAAAGTATATGCCGACCTCTCCGTCGACCCACTCGTACCCTGACATCTCCACGAAACCATAGTCTATCTTTACCCTTGGTCGAGCACTCGGACCGACTATCCCTTTGCCTCGACCATCACCGCCCACTTCTAGGTCATCCCCACTGGCTTCGGCGTGAACGGTTTCCACATGTCGGGCAGGCTGGCCGACCAAGCTTAAACCCCTGTCATCGACCTCAATAGCCCATGCTAAAGCCACACCCAAGTTCATTGGTGGCGATACCTCGACCACTTCATCCCCGCTATCGTCCGGCTCGGGATGGTCGGAAGGGAATACCACTTCGCACTGCAACGACGGCAACCTAGATATCTCACTCGAGCCCGACCCCTCTCTACCTGAATCAGTGTCCGACGCCTCCGAGGACGTCCAACTCCTAGCCGAGGAATAACCCCTATCCATTTATTATTAAAAAAATAACGAATACAAAATTTATCTTACTCGGTTTACTCGGTTGAGTCTGATTGTGAGAGAGCTCGGGAAATTTACAGCAAGTAAATTCCCATGCACCCTCCTCCTATTTATAGGTGAGGTAAACGGGGAAGGTGAAAAGACGTCTCGAGGCCCTGACGTTTCGATCTGGGCCATCCAACGGTCCAGATCTAGAAACCG